ATTTCTTTTTTCTCGGCTCAAAAATTGAAAACTTAATTTCCGACCAAATTAGAATCTTGAAAATCATCGGCCTAATTAGATTAATGCAGGCCAAATGTCATAATCGCGTTACTGCAATTTTTATGGTCGCCCTGGATAATTCGTTATCTTGGGACTCACATGGACGCTATTTTGAGTTTTAAAAAAATTCAATAAATAGGAATTTTGAATAATGCACATGTGCGTTATTACGTGCAAATACGTTATTTTGTAATTGACCATTACAATTATCGCGGTTTTCGAAATTGTTGACACTAAAATATTTTGTATACTCACTGTATACTGATATAAAATCATCTAACCCTAAAAAAATTTTTTGTATACTTTAAATATATTAGTTGTATTTAAAGTATACAAAAAAATTTTTTAGGGTTAGATAATATATATCAGTATACAGTGAGTATACAAAATATTTTAGTGTCAACCATTTCGAAAACTGCGATAAATGCACTATATTGCCATTTTACTTAATTTTCTCGTATAAATGTTGATCGTACCTGATGCATTTTATATACATTAAATGATATTAAAATTTTATATATCAAAAGCCACAAGGTAGAGGTTGGATAATTAGTTATTCGATTCCTTTTCGAGGCAAAACCAATTACTGTAGTAGTTTCCTCATAGAGATATGTGAATGCGATTTTGCTAAATAAAAATTAGGCGTAGGTAAAATGCAGAATAAAATTACATATAACATTATATACATGATTACATTGTTTGCTACATAATATTAGAAATATACCTATTAACAAGAACATTAAAGAAGTTCAAAGTCTACAATAACCTACCTATATTTGCAGCCTTCACAACACATGCATGCAATATGTTCTTTCATATGTATTGTCGCAGCTAAAGCTGGAAATTTTAAATCTTTAATATGAAATTTTCAAATATTTTTGGATACATTTTTTTAATTACTTTTTTTTAATAGTTAGGTTAGGATTTAGATTAGTTTTTATAATAAAGAGTACAAATGGACTTTTAGTAGGGTCTACATTTTTAAATTGAAGTCCCTAATTTCCAGCTTCAACTTGACAAGAAAATGATGCAGTGATAGCTATTAAATGGTTAAATAAAATAATTTGCTAATTCAAAAGATTCAAAATTATAATATGGATGTATTGAATGAGAAAATTCATGAGAATATCCAGCAGGCGATTGTTTGCACAAGGAGTGAAAATTGTAGATATATTGAAGCATTAACCAAACCTTTTAAATGATTAATCAAAACTTGTAAATATATTAACAATATTACCATCAGGTGGTATTTCTAATAAGAGAACCATTAGCTTATGGATTGTATGATGGCTAAAAATATAAGAAACAATTAGGAATTATCTTTTTGAATTTACCTTAACATATAAGGTGCGCTTATGGCGCTTTATTAAGTATATAACGATAGTATTACATGTTTTATTTTATAGTTTTTTAAGAATTTCTAAGATTGAGAGTAGACCCTTATCTATCGTGTGGGTGAGTTGTTTGAGAACAGTAAGTTCTCTGTTTAAATGGTGTGTGATGATGGTTGTGATAGCTGTTGGGATGTTAGGTGTGCTTATTATATTATTACCCCATTTAAAGGAGGCGAATTAGCGCCAAATTTCATAGATAATATTAATGTTTAACCACTTGACTACTCTTTTAGTAAAGTTGAGTGGGGAAGTAATTATAATTTTAGTTGAGAAAAATTAAAAAAAGCATTATTTGCAATAAAACTTCTTAATTTCTTCATGTAACTAAGTTGTAAAATGAAAATTTGATAGAACGATGCATCCCATGATTTAGAAATTAAGCTGTGAAATGTCTTTTATTAAATAATAAGGTATAAATTTGATAAATTGAATAAATAATTATGAAAGATCCAAAGAATAAGCTTGCAATCACTAATTGTCTGTTTTCGGTGGCAGAGTTTTTATAATATCGGCCGCTGATATAAGATGATAAAACAGATAAGATTCCCAAAATATTATGACTCAAAACAACTAGCTTCAGGACACACCTTTGTGTTTGTGCTAAAATTGATGAAATTGTTATAAATAAGTTATAATTACTGTAAAAATAACAATAAACGGTCTTCATTGATAAATTTTATGTACAGTAACAAAATGCGCATCCGTGCTACTATAATAATTATCATGTTATCCAAATACGATACACAGATATCGGCAAATCAGATTCGTTTTATTCAAGACGCACGTTTAATTTTAACAACACACATAGACTATTTTTTAGTTATTACAATTATAGCACGGGACAGCAAAAAAATACACCAAGTTTTAAGATTGTATACTCAAATTTGGTTGGTTAACTTTTAATTTTTTATGGTTGATTTTTGATTCTGCCTACTGGTTAATATCCCGTGATGGCAGAAGCTGAAATTTTTGTTCCAAGGTTTTGTAGTATAGTAGAGACTATGATCCTTGCCGGTAGTGAAAAAAATCAGTTAAAGCAAATTATCGTTAATCTGGTTGATCGGTTTGGAAGGTAAGGTCAAAAGCCAGCACATACCATTATGATTTCCGATGTAGAAATACGAGCAAGGTTGAAACCAGAAATTTTTAGTAAATTCCGAAAAATTCCAGATTAAAGATTAAATATAAATATGTACTGTAGAATCGACCAGTCGACTAAACCGATAAAATTTATCAGCTTAGTCATAGCCGAAAATTATGATCACTAATAGAGGCCTTGTCAGTTCCTACAATAAATACTGTTGACCACTGCATACGGTATCCCTGAAAATAGTATCCTATCACATAAAGTACATCCTTCTCTACAAATGAGATTACTGGATTCATGATAGTACCCGGTATTCAGTTTTATCATCAAGGGCCCAGGGTATTATTTGCAGTGGCTAACAGTAATACTAATCACATCTATAGATTATGGAAATTATTTAACGTTAATATACGCGAATTAATTAATCAAATACCTCGAATCCATTTTTTTTTTTGTTTAATATTATTTAAATGTGATCGGATCGAAATAAAAGATGTGCTAAGAATCAAGCATAGTTACATATGTATGTATGGATGTACTTTATTTTTCAAAATAACTTAGTATAATTGATTTTTTTGGCAATACAGTATCACTTTAGTAATCATTTTATATACTGCAATAATAATATAGTAATAATAAATGTTGTTATATAATTTAATCCACTTAGCTTATACGTTTTATTATAAAAAGCAAATCATTACGAAGCTATTATATTACTGCGCTTTTCAAATTTCTGTGATCAGTGATTCTCACACATCACACCGGAAATCAAAAATCTAGAATAAATGCAAATCTGTGATTGGCTAAAATAATTTTTAGCCAATCATGTATTGGCATTTTTTCTACACAGTAGATCACAGTAATTTGAAAAGCGCAGTAATGACCTATTTACGTATGTACGTACAATACACTTAAATTTCGTCTTGTACTGAGTTGATCTGTGATAATTTGTATCTCTGATTAGTTATTTTTTTTTGTACTATGTATCACTGTTACAAGAATCTGTAAGGGTCGCTGACGTTCGTACGTACGTACGTACCTCCAGTTTCTTTAGTATATTTTTCAAAGCCGATACTTTTAAGTTTTCTGATGAAAGAACAATGCATTCCTCTTGTAGTACTAATTATAATATTTTTATTTACGGACATAAATTTTCATAAAATTATTACAAATTTAATAAGATAAATGAAACATACAAGATCATAATTTTTTTCTTTATACCTATTTTGTAAAACAAAAAAAGTAAACTTTATTTTATTTATGTTGTATTTTATTAAAAAAAATTGTTTTTTTAACAATACAGCATAATATAACATGATAAGAAAATGTCTATATATCAATTTACTTTACTGATCGTATCAAAAATTATTTGCAGCCCCGTAATAGAAACTTCATTTATACAATGGAGTACTAAATCTTGCCACAATTTTTATGACATATTTGTCATACCTACTATCAGCCCAGTCTTTTAAAATGTACCGTTTATGGATTGGCTATGCAAATACTTCCAGCAAATTGCGGTACTTTAATCCCCAATTACTATTATGTAAATGTAAGCAAATTACTAATTTCAGAAAGTAAATATGTTGTTCTTCTTTTTTGGAGGCTCTTATCTTAGAACTTCCGAGAATAAGTTGATGGAGATTTGTTTGATATGATCGAATAAGTGAATTTTATTTATATTAAAATTTTAAGTATCTTAAATAAAATAAGGCAGAATTATTTTTAGAAAAAGAAAAGATTACCATTCTTATGTACAATGAGAGGAATTTAAAGTCGTTAAATGAAGCAGAAAGTCGAGAATTCCTAAATAGTTAATCAAAGAAATATGAAAAAAGATATTTCTAAATGACAAAGAACAATATTGAATCGAGTTGAAATAAACGGCATTGTGCGTAGTAGGCCTTCACGTTTCGAATATGCGTATATGAATTATGATAATAAAAGTAGATCAAAAAATTCTTTAGATATTTAATCTAATTTCGAAATTCACAAATATATTTTATGAATTTTTGTCAGATTTGAAACACCAATATGAGGAGGATCATCAAATTATCATCCGAATTTTGGTGCATCTATGGCTTTTAAATGATTTACACCGTGTAACATTCTGCAATACGCCTGATTTAGAAATACGTATTTTAATTTCGTTTTTCTAAAAATTTTCGCGTTTTGGACGTATCGCTTCAATATATCCATGAGCATCTAAAATCAATAACATTTAAAGTTGGTAATTAAACACGATCATCCCCTTTTTTCCCTAAGCATTTGTGCAATTACATAACATGTAGTGAACTGTATATTTAATTTGTTAGACGTAAAGTCAACTTTAAATTGCATTTTTTATTTAGTTTGTTGTCCATAATTATGCGGAAATACTTTTCCGATTCTCGTCACATATGCTTAAAATATTTATATAAGGATGGTCTGCAACATCTTCCTTGACCCTTTGAAGAGTTATGAATTTAATTTCGAATCAAAACGTTCCCTCTTACGCGCCGTTATGTGTAGTGATCTCAAAATCTACAATAAACAATTTAACGATTGAATTTGTCCGTCAAAATGGGTTCTATTTCGTAAGACATTTGAACAATTATTCTTTGTTCTCTGTCCCGTCTTCTCAAAACGCTTGGATATTTAATAAGGCACCACCTTCATGCTTTATCTTATTTCGACTAAATATACAGGGCTGTTTAGTCACCATGAACATACGTTTAGAACGAAAAATGTTATCAAAGCACGCATCTAACCTCTGGAAGGGTGTTAAGATTAACGATCGGCACCTCGAAAATGCGTTTAAATCATTTTACGACGCTGCGCTTTATAAGTTCAATTGTGAACAGTTGAACATCCGAATGGTTGTTCCTCCCGCTACTCCGCAACAACCTGCTGCACAGGAGCAATCATCTCTCGCGACGAATGATTTTGACAACTCATTTGATGGGATGTTAAAAGATTTATTTAATTTCTAAAACACTTTACATAATTTCGACTACGAAATCTATAATTGGCAATATGATAATACATGGATTTTTTAAGATTTATTTTTAACGTTTGCGCGTAAATAAATTAATAAGATCATAAATATGCTAAGAATAAGTTATATGTTTGATTCATTTTTATGTATTATATTTTAAGTTTCAGTATGTTTAAAATAAGGTCAAATACGAATATTATAATATGCAATGATAGTTTATAATTGAAATAAACTATTATAAATACAAATCCATTTAAAATTTTAATAAACAAAGTTTTTGAAAATATTTAAATTTTGAATTATTGCAAGCGATCAAAGAAAACTTTTTAAAATCTGATAAGAAATTTAATGAATATAATGAAGACTATTTATTTTCTATAATACTTATTTAAATTTAATAAATTTGAAGTTTTTTTTTTTTGCAAAATAGAGAACACATCTCCTTAAAACTAATAAGTGAATACACTTAAGATAAATTAAGATAAGAATTGATCATTGTTGAAATCAGAAATAATTAAAACGACTCTAAAACATTACGGGAAAAAAGTAAAATGATGATTTCTGAACAGGACCAACTGATGATTTTTTGTTGTGATAAATTGTTTGATTTAGTCAGTGGTAAAATGCAAAGCTTCAAATATTCTGCAATTAATTTATTGATTTACGATTTTTTTTTTGGATCATTCGGATATAAACCAAATGTTTAGCTCAACCACACTCGTATTTTGATTCATCTATTGTCTAAGTCAGGATTTTACAGAAGAAACATATTTAGGAATGTGTACCTGTAAAGAATTATAAAATTCATTATTTTCATATTTCTGTGATATATCATTACACTCAGTGGCATTTCTGTGCTATCTTGGACGCATTTCTTATTAACAATTTGACTATACATTCCGTAAAATGCAGTAAATTATTGTTCTGTTTTGGAATAAAACTATAGATGTGAAGCTTGTATATCACTGGTAAAAAAAATAATATTTTAACTAAATATAATCAATAATATATAGTACAAATTATAACTTATTTATTATATTTTCACTAGGTAATATAAATATTTAAACACATGAACTAAAAATATATTAAATACATATATTACCTAGTAAATATTTAGTAAATAAGTTATAATTTGTATTATATATTACTTGTTATTTAGTTAAAATATGATTTTTTTAACCAGTGTATCTTACGCAGAATTTTCGTGAATAGTCCATCATGTGCATAAAGATGCATTCGTACACATTATTCAGCAAATTGCCATCTTGATACCATCCTTTATTGAAGAACCCTTTTAAATTATCAGATTAAATACAAAAATTTCAAAATATACCAGTTGATTCGAAAATATGAGATGAGTACTATTAATAGATCGGTGCTCAATTTTCAATCAATGGGAAATAGTTTAGCTGGTCATGTGAATGAGTCCATTATCGCGATGAAAAAAAAATGTCGAGACCATTTTTTATTATAAACTTGTGAAGATTGGCTGAAATTAATATCCGCATTTCGCGATATGAATCTTAAGAAAAATTAATCGGAGTGTTTGTGCACAATCTCATTAGCCAAGCACATTGAACGAGGTGTTTGAGAGCACCCAATGACTGTTCAGAATAATTTTACTGCGTATATGTTTTAGATACATATTTTATTTAGAAAACATACACGTGCTATGAAGTAATAATATTTACCCTGATTAAGCGCTAATTACACGCAGCTGGCGATAACATCTTTCAAAAGATAACGTCGTGTATTAAATCATGCGTTACCGCGATAAATAAATTTACCAAGGTAACAATACAGCATATGTTGCCAACTTTTTTCCGTTAAAAGAAAATTTATGTAATTTATTGCTGTACGACTAGATAATGTATACTTATTCAGATATAGTATCATTTATCTATATAAGTATACTTTGTTAATTACTTTAATAATTTTATTGTTGCACTCGTTTGAAAGCAATTAACACAAATTTCTTCTAAATGTTTCATGTTATCACGTATTAAACCAGTTCGACTTAGAGTAATACTACAATTTTCTTCTTTTTAGCCATCATATATAGAAAAGGACAGCCTTATGCATAAGGGTGATATTGAACGACTCATCGTATATGGCATATAAGAAGTAGTAGATAACAAAATCTGTGAGAAATCATGAACTCCGAATTATCTTTATTTAATTAATTGCATACGTTATAATTGTAGATTATTCCTGATTAAGGGAAGATGAATAGAAGTAAATTGAGGCAACTAGAGACTGATAAACTAGAGGTGCGATCTTTTTGCCAAGTCATTATTATGATTCTATCAATATGAGTAATTCAGTTACAACAGCAATTTTATAGTTATGTTTAATAAGTCTATATATTTAGCTTATGTACGATTAAAAGGTTAAATTGCGAAATTTGTATTTAATACGCGCGAATCGGGGATTCGTGTATTATACCTTTCGCTCTAGATTAGATCTGCACATGGGATATAACCATAAATTCGAGTGTTTATCCGTGTGTAAATCGTAACACAAATAAGTAAACAAATAATATTTTTGGGTTTGTGTACGGAGTATATGTGTTACAGAAAATAGAGGGAACTGCTCTTTATAGATTGAATCTAGAGTACATGCATAACTTTAGTTCGCGAAATGTAAAAAATAACCCACGCGGACTGGTTTTTCCGGATCTATATTTATATACCAATATTAATCCAGAAATTGCCATTATTTGCCATTGTTATGTGATATCACATTAAAAGATTTGTTTCATGTGGCATTCACCGAATAATCTTATATTTGGTTTATCAAATTGAGATCTCTGTGCATTAATCAAGTTTTTTAAATAGAAAATCATTTACAAAAAAAAAAAAAAGAAAAGAAAAGAAATGGTTCAAAAATCATTATGGATTTAATTTTAATAATTTGCTCCTCAATTATGCGTAGAGACATGACAAAATTTCCTTTAAAATACCAGTTAGCCGCTAAATAACACCCATGAGCGTCATTTCGAATAATCGTCCGAAATTTAGCTTAATCCGGGTCAAAATTTGAAATCAAACCCTTGTGCGTTATTTAGTATCTATAAGTAAAACTCATTATCAATTTAAAGTTTGTTTTGAAACTAAAATTTTTGCCGATTGAAACTACTAAAAAAATTTTTTAAGAATCCAAAATTAGTAATTTGGCGAAATTAATTTAAAATTCTTTGTGATTTGGCGAAGTCTTAAAACAGAATTGGGAAATTTAAAAGATAATGTTTTATTAAATATATTGTATATGTTTATTAGAGTTGCAAATGAAATTGTTACAAATTTGCGCCAATTTTACCAAAATAGAATCTGTGTTTGGAAATGGATTATCTGCTTCTATATCGATTTATCTCAGGATACAACTCACGGATCAAAATATGGTGTAGGTGACACCTTCGGCAAAGTTCTAGAAATAAAGATTCAGTCATATCACACGACCAATTTGTGGCTAATTTGTCCTTATATAAAAACCGAGCTACAATTTAGCTACATTAGTCACATATATTCCGAATCGGGTTGGCTCACCCACCCATTCGGAGCACTAGCAACATCAGTGTTTCGGGCGAAACCCGTTTTTGCAGATCAAATTATTTCGGAGGGTTTCGGACTTTGGGGTCATAGACAGAAATTTGTCCGATTGGCTAGTTTTTAGATCGATTTGTAAATCTACACGTGATTATTACCCAATCAAATTGCACAATTTTTATTCGTT